GGGACCCCCTAAATCCCCTGGGGACCCTCCCCCAAAATAATTTCCCCCCCCTCAGGGCCGCATTGCCTGCGCCAACGTGCTGAGCGACCTGTACGCCATGGGCATCACCGAATGCGACAACATGCTGATGCTGCTCAGCGTCAGCCAGAAGATGACCGAGGAGGTGACACTGGGGCTGGGGGGGGGGGGACACGGGGGCGGGGGTCAGCGTGTGACACCCCCCCTTCGTGTTTTGTGACCCCCTCCCCCCCAGGAGCGGGAGAAGATCATGCCGCTGATCGTGAAAGGTTTTCGGGACGCGGCGGAGGACGGGGGGACGTCTGTGACGGGGGGACAGACGGTGGTGAACCCCTGGGTGATCGTGGGCGGTGTGGCCACTGTCGTTTGTCAGCCTAACGAGTTCATTATGTGAGTGCTGGGAGGGGAGGGGCTGCTAGGCGTGGTCCGGGGCAGGGCAGGGAACATGCTGAACCCCTTTTTGGTGGTGTTGTGTCCCCCCCCCAGGCCTGACAGCGCCGTCCCTGGGGATGTCCTGGTGCTGACCAAGCCCTTGGGGACGCAGGTGGCCGTCAGCGCGCACCAGTGGCTGGACAATGTGAGTTGGGGGGCTTGGGGGGGGGATTGGGGACACCCCAGTGTCCCCAAGGGGACCTAGAGCCACCCCCGTGTCCTCAGATGGGGCCAGGAGCCCACCCGGTGTGACCAGGAGGATCCGAGATGGCACCAAAAGCCACCCCTGATGTCCCCAAGGGGACCTAGAGCCTCCTGGGGGGGTTCCTAAACCACTTTTGATATCCCCAAGGGGACCCAGAGCCACTTTGGGGGGTTCCTAAGCCACCCCCGATGTCCCCAGGAGGACACAGAGCCACCATGGGGGTCCTTAAACCGCTCCTGATGTGTCTGAAAGCCACCGTAAGAGTCTCCAGGGCACCCTGGATGTCCCCCAGGAGACTAAGAGCCACCCTGTGGGTTCCTTAAGCCACCTGAAATGTCCCTAAGGGGATGGAGATCCACCCTGGGGACCCCTAAACCACCCAAATGTGCCCAAGAGCCACCATCGGAGTCCCTAAACCACCCTAGATGTCCCCCAAGTAGACCAAGAGCCACCCTGTGGGTTCCTTAAGCCACCCTAGATGTCCCCAAGAGAACACAAAGCCACCATGGGGGTCCCTAAACCACCTCAGATGTCCCTAAGGGGACCTGTAAGCCACCTTAGATATCCCCAAGAGGACCCAAAGCCACCGTGGGGGTCCCTAAACCACCTCAAATGTCCCCAAGAGGACCTATAACCTACCCTAGATGTCCCCAAGAGAACCCAAAGCCACCGTGGGGGTCTCTAAACTACCTCAAATGTCCCCAAAAGGACCCAAAGCCACTGCAGGGGTCCCTAAACCCCCTCAGATGTCCCTAAGGGGACCTGTAAGCCACCTTAGATGTCCCCAAGAGAACACAAAGCCACCATGGGGGTCCCTAAACCACCTCAAATGTCCCCAAGAGGACCTATAAGCCACCATAGATGTCCCCAAGAGAACATAGAGCCATTCTGGGGGTTCCTAAGCCAC